CCCCCCACCTTACAAGCATCACCAGTCTCTGCTCAGTGCCAATCGGAGGAACCGACGGGCTATCTCTAGGTCATGAATGCCAAGCACGCCCAGGAACGTATATGACGGCAATGGGGGGGATTGAACCCATGACCTCCTGAATGCCACTTGCATGCCTTACCAACTGAGCTAGGCCGCTGGATATTTTAAACGGTTTTGAATAACTCGGAATTTTTTTTGGGGTGGAGGGGACGGGCAACCAACAACAACTAGGAGTCACACACATGTCCTTTGCGACATCCGTTACAATTGGAACGATATAGAGAAGCTTAGCATGGCCCCTGCCCATGGATGACATGCACAAATCGACAAAATGGACAAAGTCACACATTTCAGAGAACACCATGCGTTGCCAGGCAGGGAGGGATAAAGTGTCGGGCGACAACTCACTCGTCTGCCAAAAGCAGCCAGCCACAGATCTCTCTCGGTGAAGCCGACTCCAGGTGAGGAATGAGTGCATCTGCAGCAGCTCTCTTCAGAGGAAAAAGCAGGTATCGCTGTGCGGCGTCGAAAACCTCTTCCACCTACACACCAGCAAGAAGAAACAGTCAAGCGCCCAGTTCTTTGCTTCCCCACAATGATGGACCTTCTTCTTCTCTCTCTCCCGGCAATGATCACCCCGCAGACTATTGTGATCTGCCTGGTTGAAACGAACGAATCCAGCATGGGAAACGAATCCGGCAAATGGCATTCACACGTTCCTCGACGCTGGTCTTTAGGAGGTTTAGGGTTTGGATTCTTTGGAAAGATTACAATTCAATGGTACAGAATCTACACATGCCTCAAATTCTTTGGCTATCTTTCACATGTTTATTCAGTGCTCAGAATAATAAGCTGGCCCCACTAGTAGATACTACGACGCTGGTCGTTAGGAAGTTTTAGGGTTTGGAAAGATTACAAAATTCAATGGTACAGAATCTACACATGCCTCGAATAACTGACCTGCCTTTTTTTTTTCAATAAAGCGCGACGGCCTCGAGGTATCATCATTGATACTCACCGGCCCCAGATTCTTGACAATCACTTTACTCTCTTAGGCCTTGAGGTATCATCATTGGTACTCACCGGCCCCTGATTCTTGACAATCACTTTAATCTCTTCATCCGGTTGCATCGGGGGTTCGAACTCAGGTCTGTCGTTTCAACGGTTCCTGGCTGGTGTACCAGCTGAGCTACGCCCGGTGGTGAATACTGACCTACGTATTCAACAACTGATAGAACAATACTTGAGACCAACACAGTGCGTCACATGTCCAGAGCGGGCGCTCGAAAAGAGAGAGGAGCAAGAACGCATCTAGACTCTAGGGACATCAGGATTCAAGAGGGGGCAATGAAAAGCTGTCACCTTGTTCAGCATTCTTGCACAAAAAAAAAACGTTCTGTTATGTCTGCTCATTCTAAACAGCATGTACGGCATACGGGCTTGCGCGTAAGGATGGTTAGACATAACCACCTCAGGGCATACTCACACTAGCACTTTCCAGAAAGCATCGGACCACAATTTCGACCACACCTGTCTGCATCTGGCCGCAATTCCATCCAGAAATAAGTAAAAAAGTCCTACTGTGAGTATGCCCTCGAACACGCACAAGGTATGACAATGTGTGGCATATGCCCTTGCTGGAAGCCCCGATCAGTCACTTGGCTGGATAGCACATTCACTCCTTTCCCTTGCGCCCTTGGACACAATGTGACACCATATCGCACATCTCACCTTCTAGCTATGGTGGTCAGCCATCCTGACCATCCAACCATCCTTACGCGTCTAGACACAGCCTTACACTGAATAACGTTCAAAAACAAAAACAAAAAAAATCAAAAACTTCGTACGTGCAGATCTGAGAGGAAAAAGCTGGCACGATCCCCCAGGTAATGATGGACGTACGGGACAACAAAAGGGTAAACGTCCCCGTTGAATTAATTACCTACAGCCGAGAGGCCCGAGACCGATGCAAAAGGTGCCGCTCAGAACCCACGGGCATAAACTCCACAGGCACAAAGCGGACGGACACAAAGCGTACACGCACGTGCAAAGCCTGCCAGCGCAAAATGTACCCACAGCAGAAACTGTAGAGGTACACAGCAGAACGGACTAAGGCTATCCATGCAGAGGCATACGCGCACAAAGTCTAAAAGATCGACACGGTTTACCGACAGCAGAAACTGTAAAGGTACAGAGAGTCTATACAGACACAAAGAGTCTACAAGCACAAAGCCTAAAGTCAGAGTAGATTCAGCAATGGGCCTAGGCTCAGTTGCTATACGGTCTATACCCATGAACGGTTGAAATACGGACCTGAGTTTGCATCCAGATGGATCTACAAGAATGAAAATTCTTGAATAACCTGGAGCCGGTCAGTCCAGCATGATATCTCAAGGCCATCGCCCTCTTATTAAAAAAAAAAAAAAAAAAAAAAAACAATAAGCGTAGATTTGCGGTCTAGACTTGCTCTTGTAGTCACATCTGACAAGCACGGATCTGTGGAGCATGGTTTTTCTTTTTTCCTCCTTTTTTTCGTTCTTTTTTCCCTTCTTCTTTTCCTCCTTTTTTTCACTTCTTCTTTTCCTCCTTTTTCTCCCTTCTTTTTTTTTTCCTTTTTCCTTCTTTTTTCCTTCTTTTTTCCCTCCTTTTTTCCCTTCTTTTTTCCTCCTTTTTTTACCTTCTTTTTTTCTTTCCTTTTTTCAGATCTGTGAAGCACTGGAGGTCTGAGGTTCTTTTTTACCTTCTTTTTTTTTTCCTTCTTTTTTTTTCCTTCTTTTTTCTTCCTTCTTTTTCTTCCTTCTTTTTCTTCCTCCTTTTTTTTTCCTCCTTTTTTTTTCCTCCTTTTTTTTTCCTCCTTTTTTTTTCCTCCTTTTTTTTGAAAATTTTTCCGTTCTTTTTTTTCCTTCTTTTTTTTGAATTTTTTTTCCCTTCTTTTTTTTCCTTCTTTTTTCAGATCTGTGAAGCACTTTAGCTTTTCCCTTGGGATTAAGCGTAAAAAAAAAAACACATGCCTGGAGGTCTGAGGGGATTGCCGTAAGTACCCCCTCACGTGGTGCTCTCCATCCGAAACAGTAGGGTGCGAAGTATGCAATGGCTCATAATAGTCATAACCTATTTTTGGGCCTTCCCATCAACACGTGGCTGAGCTAACATAGGGGCCACGTGGCCAAGCCCATAGGGACATAGAAAACGAGCTCGGTACAAAATACGACAGGACGGTGACTGAAGACATCAGCCGCTCTGCGTGCTCTACTTCCCAAAGGTGGAGCAGCTGTGGGGAAAGCCAAGGGAGCTGTGGAGAGTCATCACCGGTGAAGGAACAGGCCAAGAGACGGCATCGCTACACTCACCTATTTCTTGGACTCCATGGGACGTATCCCTCAAAAAAAAAAAAAAAAAAAAAAAAAAAAGAGGAGAGCAAACTTTACAGGAGATTGAGACCTCTGGCACTCCGGATGCTCTGGAAACAACTGACATTTCGTTAAAAAAACTGACATTTTTTTGTGAAATGACGGAATTGAATTCGGTGAAAAATGATTAGATTTTTTTGTGTAAAATCGTGACTTCCACATATCGTATCGCGCGGCAAGGGTATACATCACTTAGGGTCTCGCCGCACGGCACACGAAACGAAAACGAAATGAGTGCATCTGCCCACAAAAGGTGGCAAAATACACCCGCTACTATTTATAGCAAACCGATGAACCTGGTCATTTTCTGCAGGAAGATGCACTCGTTTCGTTTTTCGTTTCATGTCCCGTGCAGCAACACCCTTACACTCTATACAAAATGGAAGTCACTCTTTCACACAAAAAAAATCTAATCAATTTTCACTTGGTTCAATTTCGTGATTTTACAAAAAAAATGTCAGTTTTTTAACGAATCGTCGAAATGTCAGTTAAAAGGAGATGCAAGGAGACAATACATAGACAGCAGGTACCCCAGGGGCATGGTCCCACTAGCAAAGAGGATCGGATCAAATGCCTGAATCTGGACGAGTGTATTGAGATGTGCAGGAAATAGCAATTGCACTGCTTTTCTGCATCTCTGCTTAAACCACATCCAGATTCGCCAGCTCGATCCTATCCTCTTTGCTAGTGGGACCTCAGCCCAGGAGGAAACCTGGGAGGGACAAGAGCAAATCCTGGACACCGAGTTCCTTATGGACTGGCAAAGAGAAAGGAGAGAGATCAAGAACAAAACCCCGGAAACGAATCAAGCAAGAGATTACTGTGGCATACTGCGTAGCCACACGGGCCCTACAGGGCCCGTCCCAGACAGTCAGCCTAAAAGCCTAAAACTTAGGGCTTACAGGCCCCGGAGACATTTCAGCCTGACAACCGAATTCAGGCCCTACAGGCCCTAAAACGGTTGCCAGACTGAAGC